AAATGGTGTGGCTTAGTAAAAAGGTTTAAGAAGGAAAAATCTATTAATCAGTGGTAGAGATCGAGCTGAAGGAAGCTCGGTAGGATGCTCGAATTATGTGATCTATTGAATATCATAATGTGCTTTCCTATTTAATTATTGCAATTATTATTAAAAAATAATAAGTCTTTTCGATATAGTTGCAAATTGCTTGTTTGCGATTAATTCATGCAAACGAATTGAAAACGTTGATACAATCCTGTTCATACTATTTACTTTTGTTTGCTTTTTTGCAATATGAAATATGTAATTTTGACAGCTGTATAGTTTACAAATAGAGTACCGTAAAGCGGGGTATCTTTGATAATGCGGGCAACTTTGATAGTAAAATATATAGATTAAATTTACTCGCTGCGCTTTTTCCAAAATAGAAACATTGTTTCCATATTGTAGCTTGGGGAAATTGGATTTGTAGTTTTCACCACAATTTGAACATTTAAATTTCTTAGGATCTTCCTTCACAGGGCAGTCGTCCTTTGCGTGAAAGGAATCACCACAATTCATGCATTTAGCTGGCATGTAGCAACTTTTAGTTCCGTGACCCCATCCCTGGCACTTATGGCACTGGGTGAGGTTTTGAAAAGTTCTTCTAGTCTTCCTGAAGTGTTCCCACTTCACTCGGACATGGAGCATAAGGCTAGCATTTTCCAAGCCCTTAAAGTTGTTTAGTTCACTAAACTTGAAGTGAACTAAATAAAAATCAATGGAAATCCCGTTGCGGGAATCGCCAGGACGGGATTTCATTTTCATTTTGATTACTTGGAGTGGCACAACTCCAAGTAGTTGGAGGCGAACCAGCCTAAGGCTGAAAGCCTCCTAAATAAAGCTAAATTAATTAATTAATTAACTCCAAGTAATTTTACCAGTTCATCTTTGATCTGATCCAGGGATTCACCACTGGCATTCCTTTTATGACAACCTTGAACACAAGTTCAGTTTTGGTGTCGTAAGTAAAAAAATTTGTGCCGCTTCTCAGTAAGATACTTGAGAAGAAGTTTAAATGCGTCCAAGGTTTCAGCCAATACACGGCATTCACCCCAACGTCCAATTTGTAGGGAAAATTTAACTTTCACGAAGTTCAAAAGTTCCATGCGAAGAGCATGGAAATCGGAAGTGGTTATCACAATAGGGGGAATCTTTTCCTTCTTGGAATTAAGCCGGGAAAGTTTATCAGAATTTTTCATTCTCATCATCCGTGAGCAAATCAAATTGATTGCTCAAATTAATTTCATCAGAAGGGGATCAAGAGTTTGCCCAGTAAATTTTTATCCAGATCGAATTCCAAGCAGATTACTGTAAGAATCTGAAGGATCGTAGAGGAATTTTCCAAATCGATATCAAAGAAGGATTACCTCGGGTAGGGTCCAAACAAGGATCGAAGAGGAATAAGAGTTGAACAAGGTAGAAAATTTTTACAGGTTGAGCACTGAAAAGTGCTGTTTAAATTTGTTGTAGCTTTAGGTAGTAGCAACACTTCCTTAAGCAAAAAGCAAATACATCCGCACGGCAAGAGAGCACGATGCGGACTGTCACCTTTTTCTTTCTTTCCTTTATTTAACGTCGGTCTCTGTTCCGCAATCTAGTGCCAATAACCGACGGATATCGATTGCCATCCATTGACGGCAATCGAATGTGCAGGAAGGCAGCTTCCACACCTGCGTAGGATATCGCACCCATTCAACACACATACATGGGGCGGGACCAACGGCTTTACTTCCCTTTCGAAGGAAGACGTGACCAGAGATTTTTATGCCTCAGAAAAATCCCACCGACCTCGGCTGGGATTGAACCCAGACCCATTGGGGGGAGAAAGCAGTCACGCTTACCACTACACCACCGGCGCCGGCTCAGTCACCTTTTTAGAGGGGTTTAAACATAAGGAGAATTTCTATGGATCCAGGAAACGGTGTTTGTTATACGTCAGCGAGATCACTCAAAAGCCTTCATCACCCGATGCTTGCGCGGTATATAATTCGTGTCTGGTGGCTTCACAACTGAATCTTGCATGCTGAGCTCCATCATCGATATCATCAGCAGCCGATATTAAAAGAAATTCGTGAACGTTAATGGAGGGGCGAAAACGAAATCGCTTGATTGGAACCCGGCAAGACATCGTAGCAGAGGCAGGATTATTACACGTCATTACTATGTTTTGGTGTAAAAACTATTCAAATATCTTAAACGCTGTCCAGACTGGAGAGTTATAACATGTTATAACGGTTGTCAACTAATTGCAACACAGAAACCACCATCAAGATAGCGCTATAACATGTTATAACTCTGTAGTCTGAACGTACTATGAACGTACTATTAGGACCTTGTTATACCCCGTACAGACTATGGCTATATCATGTAATATAAGCTGTCTTTTTCCCTTGATTTGTTTACCGTCGATCTTTTTTTCCGTGCTAAACACCAATACTACCGACGCCAGGGAGGCAGCTCCCACACCTGGACCCTACCCCTTATCGACCCATCAACTCATGAATCGGGGACCAACTGCTTTACTTCACTCCCGAAGGAAAGCGTGATCAGTGATGTTATGCCTCAGAACATCCCGGCGGCTCCGACTGGGATTGAATCTAGGCCTGCTGGGGTGAGAGGTAATCACGCTACCACTACACCACCGACGCTGCTATATAAGCTGTCTTGCAATGAGCACTCATACATAGGATTTCCAGTGAAAACTAGGTATAAATGAGTGCTCATTGCAAGACAGTCTACATGATATTGGCGTTGACGGCACCGTCGAAAAATCGTCTCTTCTAGAAAAGATTGACAGTTTCTTATGCGATTTCTCGATGAAGTGAAAGGAAAGTACGAAGTCCGCCATGTTTTACGCACAGTCTGACGTTTGCTTATGGATTTTACCATAGGAGTAAAGAGCTACAGAGTCTCCGTCAACGCCAATAGAGATTAGTGACGTTTAACGCACGCACACTTGCGTTGTTTATTATTTTCCTTTGGCTAACCTAAAAAATGTATGAAATAAGATCTGTCAAAATGAGTTTGACAGCGATTTTTTATGTATTTTCCTCGGATTTTCACTAACACGCTCTCACGAATCGCACCAACACAACCGGACGTGAAAATTTCAATAAGTCATAGTCTGTATGCGGTTTTAGCAGTATTAGCACAGATAACAGACGTCTAACTTCAGCCAGAAACTTGTGTAAAGATAAGTGGGAACTTCGCCGTCACGTGGTGCTAGCATCTCCTGATTTACTCTATAAATTTTCAACTTTCGACCAATTTGGCGCTAGTATCTATAAATTTTCTGTTGAAAATTGCCACTTGGCGCTAGTGTCCAGTGTAAATTGTGCAACGACAGCGCCATCAGGTTGCCAAAGAGGGTTTTTAAGTAGGGAAGTCGCCGTTAGTGGCGCTTAAGTCAAATAGGAATCTTTACACTAGTTTTTAGATAGATTTTTTTTTCTTGATTTGTTTTCCGTCGATCTTGTTTTCCGTACTGAGTACCAACAACAATCAATACGAAACTAACGATTTTAAATTGGCTCACCACTTTAGTAGCCTATTGGTCCCAAGCAAACGATTAACGTACCCTATTCTAGTTGAAATTCTATTACTACACTATGTTTGTTTTGATTCGCTATGAAAGTTTGACAGATAACATCAGGGGTGTGTGGATTCATGCAGATCGCATTGAAACGCCATTAGATTTTCTTTGTCCTACGGATAAACGTAGGAAAAGGGGAATCGCTAGGAGTGTTTCTTTTGTTTTGAGAACAATGAGCGTAAATTTTCATACAATGCGCTCTAATGGGATTTATGATGTAGCTAATGAACTAACGCAACGGAACAAACCTATTATTGACTTGTGCATGATGAAATCATTGATATGATTGATATTTTATGATAGATAGAACGGAAATGGGCGATTACGAGGAAGTAGTGCTCTACCCTACTTGTAGCGTGAGTAAATTTTTCGTCGATTTTTCTTCGTTTTATATGCTTATATGCCATGTAGTGATGTAGTGATGTAGTGTTGAAATGTAGTGTTGAAATGTAGTGATGTAGTGTTGAAATCCGTAAATTACTTAATACTGGCCTTTTGCACGCTAGCAGCGGGAGAAGGAGCATATATTATTGAGAGATTCAACTTTCCACCACCTTAATATGGAGAAATCGACAATCAAAAGAGCGATTTACAAGCATATTAATACGATTCTAAACACTTAGTGCTCAAAAAATGTTGATGAATAAGAATCAGGGTTTGATTTTTCCCGATCGGAATTATGGTTCCGAAGATATAAACAAAAATGAGAATTCCAGATTGCACTGGGAAATTCGCAAAAGATTGATATATCAAAAACTCATCATGCGACACCTGAAATCACATTAAAATTTGAACATATTCAAACCCAATGATCACAATGGCAAAGAAAGATGTACCAGGTACCCCCGGGAAGTGGACAAATTCTGACAAGCGCCGAAATGCATCGTACGATACCTCAAATTACATGGAACTCAACATAATGATTAGTGAAAGAATTTATTTTGATTTTCCATAAAACCTCATTTAAATTTATTTATTTGACTCCAAGGTCACCCAGGGGTCATATCGGTTGTAAAAAATGTTAATGCAGTTGAATGTAGAACAAAAACAATAGAAAAATCCCTGACACTGTATGTTTTTTTCATCTTGTCAAAACAAATTGTGACATGGTAATGTCGGCCTAAATGCCCCTAATTTGGGCCCAAACATAAATTCAGCATTCGAATAAAGTTTCAATAGCGACCAAAAATATCCATTAGCACTGTCCCAATGACGCATTCATCTAGATAAAATTGATAAATATTAGATTTTTAACGATGGGCCCAATATTAGAGCCATTTCCCGTACTGCGTTTTTGTTTAATTTTTTTTTTTTTGATTTCCCCCTTAAGGTCACACACGCTGATTGGGCCGCTACGCATGATTAAAATTTAAATTTAACTTACGTGAACGTGGTACGTAATGGTGAGCGGTGGAGCGACTTGAACTCGGACCAGCGGTATTGACAATTGTCGGGCTATCGGTGGCTAGACTTGGGCCAGATTCGGATTGACTCAGACCAACAGTCGATGGTGGCGCAGCAGATTGATTTGAACCATCTGAGTCTATAAATAAATGATACAAATAATAAAATAAACGTGGTTCTAAAATACAACTGTATACACTTACGGGAGCCGCCTGCATGATGATAGTCAGATTGTGAAGTTGATTGTGGAGTAACGGATTGACTTGGAAAACCGGTGGATTGAATCGGATCATCGATGGATTGATTCTGACCAGCGGTTTTGGATAAAGCATCGGAACCAGCAGTTCCTACACAAATTTAATGCTTAGACTCAGAAATTAAACAAACATAACTTATAGCTTACCTGATTCTTCGGAAAATTCGCTCTCTTCGATTTTTCTCCTTTTTATCATCATTTTTACGACTCTTATTCAGGTACAAAACGGCGAAAATGGCTATTTCGAAAACTGCATTCGGTGGTGGGTGTTCTTGAATAAAAAGATGGAATAGGATGAAAACAAACCGTCAAATCGTATGGAAAAAAATTTAACAGGGACAGCTCGTTCGTGTGGTGGATTTGAAAATGCGCGAATTTCTAATGCGTGAAGATGTGAAACAGTGTAACCAAATAAATTTAAAAAAATTCCCTTGATTACAAAAGACTGTAAATATCTGTAAAAAAAACTAAAAAGTCTGTAAATGTCTGTAACGAAAAAAATGTCAAAATTTTAGTACTACACTATGTTTGTTTTGATTCGCTATGAAATTTTGACAGATAAAATGAGGGGTTTCGTGGAATTTTCTATGTTTCGAGGGGTGCAACGATTAGCTTGGGACCGAAGAAAGTACCAGAGCTGAGCCAAAAAGTTGAGCACGTTTCTTCGGAACCTTCTGGTCTTAGAGTTGCCTCTATGGTAATACTATGGTAATATAATAAAATACCAGGAAGAGGTCTGAGATGAACTCTGAGGGTATTCTGAGATGATTCAAGCAAATTTTTCAGAAAATACGTGTAAAGATAAGAGTATCAGGATGGTTCCAACATTCATTGAGATATTCTGAGATCAATCAAACATCAAATTCTTTCTACAGTTGAAACCAAAGTTTTTGAAACTTTGGGAGTTTCTGTCGAAACAAAATTTGGACAACTTACGTTTATAGCTGCCTATTTGCCATTCCAAGAAGAATGTTCCAAAGGGTGATTTTACTGCAAAACACCGCTCATGGAATAATTCTAAACGTAATATTCTGTTTGATGATTGTTCTGCAGTTTATTACACTATTCAATATCCAAATTCTTCAGCAAGAAATCCCTTCTTCTTATTTCTTCTTCTTCGTATTTCAAGCTTATTGCATATCGTATATTAGCTTATTGCGTGCTCTCAACTTAGTGTTTTAGATGCACTTCCCCAGTTATTAATTGAGAGCTTTCGATGCCTTTACCATTTTTGCATTGGTATAATTGTGTGGCAAGTCCAATCACACTTCTATGCCCAGGGAAGTCGAGAAATTTTCCAACCCGACTGAGTTAAGGGAGGCCCTAAGCAAGAAATCCCTCAACTATTGATTCATGTCAACTTTGTAGCCAGTTGGTTACCCATGCTGACTTCAGTTCTGATCACCTTCCAGTAGGTTTTGAAATATCCCAAGAAATGATTTGTAATCCCAACAGCTCTACTTTCAATTACCAAAGAGCTGATTGGGAGCAATATTGAACATTTATGGAATATAACTTCGATCCAAACATTCATTTGCAAACCAAAGATGAAATTAATTATGCTCTTGAATCTCTGACTACTTCCAAAGTTGAAGCAAGAGGTGCCTCAGTACCAAAATGCGAGGTTAAATTCAATTCAATTATAATAGACGACGATCTTCAGCTCTTGATCCGTCTTAAAACTTTCCGTAGGAGACAATATCAAAGAACACGCGATCCTGCCATGAAAGTTATCTGGCGGGATTTGCAAAAACAAATTAAAAAGCAATTATCTGCCCTGAGGAACAAAACTTTTGAAAATAATGTTTCTAAATTAAACCCTTTTGGAAACACACAAACACAAACAAAAGCCTATTCCAGCGCTTAAAGAAGGTGGTAAAATTTTGATCACAAATTTGGAAAAAGCTCAGATATTTGCTAAGCCATTCGACAGTTCCCATAATTTCAGTTTGGGTCTTACTAGTCTTATTGAGAATCAGTTTACTCGGGATTATCTGAATATTTTCTCTCGGGAAAATATTTTTGATGATTCCTGGGGGACTGATTTGGACGAAGTAAGGTCTATAACTAAAAAGTTTCAAAATATGAATGCTTATGATGGAATTTTCTATATCCTCATCAAAAAACTCCCAGAGAGTACCTTGTCTTTCTTGGTAAAATTATGTAACCGTTGTTTCCATTTGGCATACTTTCCTGATAAATGGAAAAATGCAAAAGTTGTTCCAATTTTGAAGCCGGATAAAAATCCAGCTGAAGCTTCTAGCTATCGCCCAATAAGTTTGCTTTCTTCAATAAGTAAACTTTTTGAAAAGATAATTTTAAATAGAATGATGCTTCACATCAATACAAACTCAATTTTTGCAGATGAGCAGTTTGGATTTCGCCATGGGCATTCAACTCTTAAGAGTTACCAATTTAATTCGTTCAAACAAATCTGAAGGCTGCCCAACTGGAGTTGCTGCTTTAGACATAAAAAAAGCATTCGACAGTGTTTGGCATGAAGGTTTGATTGCTAAATTGAAAAAGTTTAATTTTCCATTTTATATTATGAAATTAGTTTAAAGTGATTTAACTGACAGAACTCTGTAGGTAAATAATCTAAATTCCAAATCTAAACGACTACCTGATAGAGCAGGAGTTCCTCAGGGTAGCATTCTTGGGCGTATATTGCATAACATTTTCACTTCGGACCTCCCTGATTTGCCTCAGGGTTGCCACAAATCTTTGTTCGCTGATAACACAGGCATTTCCGCTAAAAGGAAGAAGTCTTCGTGTTATTTGCAGCAGACTGCAGAAAAGTTTAGATATTTTCTCTTCTTATTTATAAAAATGGACGATTTCTCCCAACGCTTCCAAAACTCAACTCATAAGCCCAGAGCTTCCTTTTTGAAACCTAGTAGTAGTCGCATAGTCACTATGAACGTAGTTCCAGTTTCTTGGTCAAGTCAAGTGAAATATCTTAAATTAGTACTTGATCAAAAATTAAATTTTGAAGATCACATTGAGGACATCCATGCCAAATATAACAAATAAATAGAATGTTTGTATCCTCTCATAAACCGAAAATCCAAACTTAACCTGAATAATAAACCTCTAATATTCATCTCGATATTCATACAGGTTTTTAGTTATACCAGAAAAAAAAAACACCTCAAATGATTCAGAATAAAACTCCGAAGATGACTTTGAAGTTGCCTTCGTGGAACAGTTCTCCCGAGGTACATAGAATTTTGAAAGTTGAGACCTTAGAACAAATTTCCAACAAAATAATTAATCATTTGTGTATTCCATCTAACCCCCACTGTCCGGCAGTGTTATTATGAAAGAACTCTCTCTACAATATCGCATTTATGGTCATTGTAGACAGCTTTAGTCCGGGAGTTAGAAGGTGATAGCTCTATTGCAGATCCAGCAACCCATTTCAGAATGTCTGGAGAGTCACGCCCATTCCGAGGTTACTTTCACTTACAATAAGCCCCGCATGTTTGCATCACCGTTATCAAATGGATATTGGTATTACATACACGCTTCCAGGTTCGAAAACATATTTTTTCAAACCTGGCATGTATTTAGTTTAATTTTGATATATATTTTTTTTAATAATTGGAAAGCTCTCACCATATTCTGCTTTTCCGCCGTCGTTGATTACTTCATTTTGAATATATTGGACTTTTTCTCTAACGCTTCGTATTTCATTCCGTGCTTCACCAGCAATTTCCTTCCGTAGATCGTCCTTGGTTGGTTCTAATATGATTACGCCTTTTTTGGTCGGTTTCATTGGTTTCATTGAATTTAAATGAATTGCCATGTTGATCTGGGACGAGGCTCACATCCAAAGTCGCTGTTCTACCGAGCGCTCCGTGTGCGAAAAGAAAATGAAAGAAATTCAAAAGCGATCAGTTTCAAGAAGTGACAGTTTCATCAGATTCCCCAACTAACCATAGTCAAGCAAAGTAAGAATATACAAGCTATATTGCAACTATATGGTTACTTGGGTACTCATATGGCCGTCAGAATGGTTCATCGGTTGCGAAGTGAAATATTTCTGAAAGTGATGCGTTATATTTCTCAATGTTTTGATTTTATCCTAACGTTACCTCCATGTTATTTCACAAACAAGCAGACACAACACATTGAACACTTATCATTGTAAACCCTACCACCATCTGTTGTATATACTTTCATGGGCAATACACTCAACAGATGGTTGTAGTATGTAAACGTCAAACGCTAGGGAATTGATTATGTGCACCACAAGTGGCGGTACTATCGACTAAGAAACATTTAAATTGATCGTTAAAACGATTTCTATGAAGGTTTTAAGAGTGTTATGTCTGCTTGTCTGTGATCATACCTTCACTATCGCAACTTCGGGTAATCTGCGAAAGTATTTGCATTTTTCTCAGGCACTTTTGATTACTCTCTCATACTCGAAATGTGCCACGACCAAATTGGCACAACGACGCCCTATACGCTCTCTGACCGAAGCGCAGGGTCCAACAAAATAATTAATCATTTCAGGCAAAAATCGTTGCACTCCTCAATTGCAACGATGATTTCCCTTTATACTTAGATAAGATTAAGTTTTCGTTTTTAGTTTTAAGATGTCAAGATGTTAAGCGTCTGTTCACCATGGAAGTGCAGCTCAAAACGGCGTCTGTTCTCCATGTTAGGAGCGACTGATCAATGTCCTAGTGCCAGCGTGGGACTCTAAACAGAGCTGTGCACGATGGTCCCGCGGCGAGACAGGGGGGGAGGGGGGCAACAAGCCACCCTGGAAAAACATAAAGTTGCAAATACCGAAGAAAGAAATACGGATCGGTACAATCGGCTCATACCTACGCGACGAAATAAGGACTACGATTGGAAACTCGGAACATGGAACTGCAAATCGCTCGGCTAGGTTAATCTATGACGAGCTTCAACCACGCAACTTCGAAGTCGTAGCACTGCAGGACCTTTGCTGGACGGGACAAAAGGTATGGAAAAGCGGGCATCCATCGGCTACTTTCTACCAGAGCTGTGGCACTACCAACGAGTTGGGAACCGGCTTTGTAGTGCTGGGTAAGATGCGCCAACTTGTGATTGGTTGGTAGCCAATCAACGCGAGGCCGTTTCTTCAACTACAGCATCATCAACGTGCACTGTCCACACGAAGGGAGACCCGAAGACGAGAAAGAAGCGCTCTATGCGAAGCTGGAGCAGGTGTACGACGGCAGGTAGGACGAGAAGCAATGTACAGACCAAACAGACTGCATGACGTATCGAACA